TTTAATTTGGCACAATTTTCAATGAATCTTTCAGCATAATTCAATATACCAAGGAAGTTTTGTAATTGTTTTTTATCTTTGATTTTTTTAAGAAATTCTTGAAGTTTTTCTCCAATATGAGATTGTAATTGCAATTCTCCTTCTTTTATAAATAATCCTAAAAATTCTATTTCTGTTTTAACTATATCAGCTTTCTTTTGAGAAAGTGTAATACCATGTTTCTTCATAATATAACAAAATTTCTCAAGATGTTCTATATGTTCATAAATGTTATTTGAATGAGTAAGTAAATCGTCTACATGTGCAATACAAAATTGAGTAATTGGTTTGATTACCTCATCTATTTTTCTTTGGAATATCTGTGGTGCATTTTTCAACACAAATGACATTACATTACATTTGTATTGTCCTAAATGATTGGGGTACTAAATGCAGTTAATGATTTACTTTCTTCAGTAAGCATGATTTGCCAAAACCCTGACTAACAATCAAATTTTGAAAATATCTTTTTGTTCTGTACTTGTTTAATAAGGGTATCCTTATTTGGCAAGTAGTATCCATCAAATTTGGTAACTTCATTTAATTTTTTGTAATTTATCACTATTCTGGTTTTTCCTTTTTTTATCTCACTATGTTTTCTAACCATAAAGGTTGGGCTGCTATGTTGACTTTTACTAGGCATAATTAATTTGGCTTCTAGCAATTCTTTTATCTGTTCTTTAAATTCTTTTTGGTCATCAACAATATATTTCATGGGTTTGACTCTAACAATAGTGTCTGGATTAGTTAATTCTATTTTTGCCTTCATTTTGTCTGTATTCCATTTTTCTAATGGATTTTCAGAATATGTTTTAGAAATTTCTTTTTTTATTTTTCTAACCTATTTTCTGTTGTCATTTTTAAGACTGTAACTGATTTAAATTTTTCTGTACTCCAACATCCACCACGCTGGGTTGAGGAACTCTGATGGTTTATGTTTGTGTATGCTATTGTAACAGCCTTATTTATTTTTGGTGTAAATATTTTGTGTTCACAGGATGTTGTGAACATATACTTATCAAGATAATGTGTAAATAGTGCATATTTTAATAGGAAATTTTGTCCTAATAAATATCACATTCAATTGTGTTTGACATATATATTGTATCAACAAATACTTCTCTAAAGGAAATTAGAAAATGTACTTGCGTAGCATATTTGTTGTATACTCCCTTATTTCCACCTGCTTTGTAGCGGTGGCAATTTTCTTTGAATTGTATTTTCAGTATTCAGATGATAGTACATTTGGTAAGCATAAACTTATTGTACTTCCTGTATCTAAGTAAGCATGAAATTTAATTCTACAATAACTTTTTATATTGAGTGTAATTTCAATATATGGACTCATGGGATTAGTACTAATTACTTTTTTCATGATAACAATGATTTCATATTTTCATCTATTCTTGATATGATGATTGGATTATCATCAACTGTTATTTTTAAATATCCTTGACAGATTTTATAAGGACTATATTTTTTAAGAAAGTTCATTCCTAGTAGTATAGGTGAACGATCAACTCCATATAATTCATCTTTATATAGAATTATTTCTTTAGTATATTCTTCTGATCTTCTCCTATAAGTATTAAGGGGGAACTTTATATATTTTCTTATTTCAAGATTATTTCATAAATAATCATTAAATATATATGGTTCTGGTATTTCAAAGTCTATTAAACGGCTAACAAATTTAGCATTTACCAGACTTTTATCTGCTCCAGTGTCAATGAGGACAAGAAGATTCTTCTTATATCCTTCTTGATTTACATATCTTGTTTTGATATAATATTGCGAATTTGATGGTTCAGCAATACTTAAATTCTTAAATTTACTTATCTTAGAATCTTGTCTAGAGGGAAATCTTGCAATAAGATTATCTCCTTCTAGACTGGCACTATTTCTTCTTATTAGTTTTCCTTCAGAATTAATTTCTTTAACTTGTTTATGGAAATCAAACATTATCTGTTTTGGTATAGTGACTTCATGTTCTTGGTATTTCCTAGGAGGTATATATTATGCTAATTCCTCAAAATCTTTATGTATGATAATATTATTAGTTATTTTCCTTAGATTGTTATGATGGCTAGTACTAAAAGCAAAAATTGATTTTATGCTTATACTAATAGCCTTAATTCTTCGTAACATTTACAAGTTTCCAATTCTATAATATAGATTGAAACTTTGGTCAATATTTTCATCATTTAATGATATTGCATAATTTGGTTTTACTGTAAATATTATCTTCTGATAGACTAAGTTTCCTACGATTGTTCCTAATAGAGCATCCATTGGATCTTGTAAAATTCTGTTGTCCATGCAATAAATTTTAATTGGTATATTCATACATTTTCTAAAGAATCCTTTTACCATTATCTGGACTCCTCCTATTTCAATACATTTTAATTTGTTTCTTACGTTCTCCGAAATTTTGGATAACTTTTGTTTTACCCATTCTTTTGTAATTATAGGAATCTTTGCTTTTCCTATAGTATCTTCTATATTTATAGACATTTCTTTATAATTCATACTTACAATTATTTTATTTATTCTTGGTAATATTCCTAAAAATTCTTGATGGAATACATCTTTTTCTTGTAAGTCTAATATTTTTTTGGTTATTCTTGTGTATTTTTTAATGTCAAAGGTAATTTCTTGATTTATACCTTCTATTGAGTCTTCAACTTCTTCAGTTGTTTCTATTTCTATTTCTGCTTGTTATATCTCTTGATTCATATATACTATTTCTTCAAATTCTTCCTCAGATGAGGATGTATCTAATTCATAAATGCTACTGCATTCACTACTTAAATCTCCAAAATATTCAATTGGTTCTATATCACTATCATCTTGGAATTTTTCATAAATTCTAAGAGTTTTTATATTCTGTCTATCTTTCTTTTTAGGACATTGAGGGGCAATGTGTTCTTCTTCATTACAGATGAAACATCTACATTTTTTATTATTTCTTGGTTTAAATTTTTTATTCCAATTTCTTTTCCTGAAATATTTTTGTGTGGTTTAAAATTTCTTTTCTTGAATTTTTTGTAGTTTTTGAATTTTCTTTTATATTTCTTATATGGTTTATATTTCTTCTTATGTCATCCAAATTGTTCGACTTGGCCTATATCTAATTTTTTCTTATTTTATATGCTTTCTTACTTTCTAGGGCTTCTCTGCACCATATGCATATCATTCTTTTTGTAAATTCAATTTTACTTCCAAAACTATTTATTTTCATTCATTCCTCTTTTCCTAGAGGTAATAATTTTTCATATTCTTTTAATAACTTAATTCCCCATGGGAATGGTAACTTAGTAAAATAACTCCTTAATATAGGTTTTTTTTCTTGATAATCTCCTTCATTTAATATATAGTATAATTCTTCAAATTTACATTTGTATCTTTCTAATTCACACATATCACATATCTTTAATTTTTTCATTGCTATCATTCATTCATTATATTCATCTTGTTTACTTTCTTCTTTATTAGCAGTATATTCATCTCCTAAAAATTCTGTTTTTAAGATTTTTTCAAATTTTTTTAATATCTCATGTATATTTTGATCATTTAAAGTATTTTTATTATCTAATACTTCAGTTCTATTATTTCCATACTTTATTCTTCCTTTAATATATTCTGGTAACTTTCTCAACCATTCAGAAACAATTCCTCTGAATGTATGTTCTATAAATTCAAAAGCTGTATATGTTTCTCATTTATTAAATTGTATTGCTAAGTCTGTACTTTTCATCCATGTTTCAATAGCTTTATTTTTATCTACACAGTTTAGATCTAACCATACTCCTGTTGTGTGGATTGGTTCATTATAGGATTTCATTGGATTTATTTCTTTTATGGATTTTTTTTTTTATATTTTCAGTATATCTTTTCTGTGTTTTCCTATATTAATTAATACCATCATTAAGTGGTATTGTAATACCATAAGGATAATCATATTCTTCATCACTACTGAATTCTATTTTTATATTTCGACTTGATGATGGATTAATATTCATCTTTCTATTTTTCATTTTTAGTTAATTTTTCTAATTGCTTTTTATATTCATCATACTCTTCACCAGTAGATTCTAAGAATTTTTTTTCTAGTTCTTCTACATCTGTAATCATATATTGATTTTCTTAATTTTTTTCCCTTTATTATTTTTTTTGAGTTATTCTAAAATCTTGAGGTGGATTAATTATAATCATATCTTTTCCTTTAAGATTTTTATCTAATAGAGCATTTCCTACTAGTAGATTATGTTCTAAATTTTCTAATCTTTTATGTATATTTTTAAAACTTTCATTTGTGGTGTTTTTAGGTAAATAGGGATAACTAGGTTTTTTATGTTTTCTACTTTTTTCAAAAATTCTCCATTTATATTTTCTTCATCTATTATGTTCATCATAATTTTAGGTTCGTAATATGTCTCTGATACCATTTCAGCGGAGTGTACAGCGGAGGGGTTAAAATTTTTGAGCCAATTAAAATCTTCATAAGTATTTAAAATATCACAATAGAATTTATAAATTTCACTATCTTTTGTTAAGACTTTTTCTTTAATAATTATAATTAATTTTTTAATTCTTCTTTCCAAATTAAGAATTATTTTATGTATATCATTTTTGGTTTTGATTGCTCTTTTATCTATATAAACATTTTTATGTTTTAATTTTGGACCTAAATATTCTATAAAGAAACTTTTCAGATTTTCTTTTAAATAATTTAATTCATCATCTGTTGCTTTTTTAGATCAATAATTTTTTTTATAACATTTGGATTTAAATTTATTAAAGATTTATGATCTATATTTCTCTGAGAACCTAATTGAAAGTTTTTATACATTATAATAACTTTTGTTACAAATTCTTTATGAGGGGTATTGATGAAAAGATTATTGTTCAAAGATGTTGTTCAAATGATTATATTTTTTAGTCTAATCTTACAAACTCCAATATTAGGCTATATGTAGGTATTTCTCGACCTTGCCCCCTTATCTGGTCTTCAACTCTACCCATTTCCTAGGAAGAAGGCGAACCAGACCTTCACTCTCCAGAACAATGGCGGGAATTTGCGCTTTAAAATGCCCTTGTTTTCGTCCATCTTCTTCTCCCTCTTTTTCTTTCAATCTACTGCGAAGAAATTCATACCGTGCCAGATTGCCAAGTAATTCTTTTTTCATCACTCTTTTCATTTTCAATCCCCTCCTTCCCCCTTTTTATTATGTAAATGATGATTATCAATCATGAAAAAAATGTTAATTTGCTCTTTTTTTTTTCAGGAATATATGCGTTTTCCAGCAACAATATTAAAGTGGGCTCCAACATTGAAGTGGAGGGAACTCCTTGGAGGGTTATTGGTAATTCTTGCTAATTTTACCTACTTGTGTCCAAAGGTATGGTTGTTGAATTGCTTATGGATCAAGATTACATTTTTATGACTAATGATTTCCTGTTGACTTGTACAATGTTATCCCTCTAGTTTATTTTGTTTTTCAATTTTGATATAAAAAATTCTTTCTGTGCACCTTCTAGTTTGAGTATATGACTAAAATGCACTAGCATTGTGAAATTCTTGAAGTCATCTGTGCCTTGTACAATAAACTTTGCATCTCAGAGATCGAAATAATGAAGAATTTTGGATAACTTTTATCCTTTGTGGGTTTGAATTTTAGATCAATTTTGGGTTGTCGAATTGATCGAGTTTAAGTGTTTATAGTCTACTTTACTGATTTTCATTTGACATGTACACTGTTATTCATTCAGTTTCTTTTATTTTGGATTTTAATTTAAAACATTGTTCTTCTGCTTCTAGTTTGATTATATGACTGAACTGTACTAGCATTACAGAATCATTAAATTGATATGTGTCTTGTAGTAGTAGTATGTGTATCGGAGTTCTGAAAACAATGAAGAATTTTGGATAATTTTATCCCTTTGCCTTTGGTCGGGATTGTTGTCAGTCAAACAAGAAATTTTTATTTTCATTGTTTTGTTCTGTGTGTGTGTGTGTTGGGGTGAGGTGGGCGGTGATATCAACATTTGGAGTTCTGGAGTTGAAATTGATTTGGTTTTTGGTAAATCTTTAGAGTTTCTCCACGTGAAACCCGGCAAAGGGGCAGCATATGTGAGGACCACGCTACGCAATTACTTGACAGGAAATCAAGTCGAGAAAACTTTCAGAGCTGGAAGTAAGGTAACCCTCTGTAACTTTTGAATTTTGGTTCTTGTTTCTTTCCGGATTATCTACAGAGAATTATGTCATGGATGGAGTAGAGAAAATCTAGTATAACATTTACAATACAAGTATTCCATGCGTTAGATAATCTGATTGTTATGGGGCAGATAGAAATGATCTGTAAGCCTTGTTATCCTTAGTGGTGGAAAGTTTAAATGCACGGTGCATACTAGGTTGGTCTACATTTTGCGTGTTAAGTTGTAAAAATATTTTTGCAAATGGAAATAACTATAAACATTTTAAGATTTTATTGGGCATCTTGCCTCCGTGTTGAATTCTATCTATGCAAGTACAATCAATTCAATATAAAGTTAGATGGTTGACGGCCATGAGGTCAAACAAGACACTATTTGGTAATAGATCATGTTTTTGCTTCTGGGGTAGCCTATCCTTCTTCCATCTGTGTGATGTATTTTTTAGCTGATGAATCTTGGTGCTCGACTAGTGGTAATAAGAAAATGGTGTATATACCAACTTCATAATTTGATGGATTCATAATGCTGTGTCTAGTAGATTTAATACAGTGATCACTACAATGCCTATCACTTCATGACATATTAAATTGCGGGGACGATATCAACAGGAGTTTGGTCGGATATTGAGATAAGCACAGCCTAATGATTATCTTTCATTGGATGGTGCAGTCAATATTTCTTTGATTGGGTTATAATAAACATAATTTCTACTTAAATTTATGGGGCAGTCAATCTTTCTCGATTGGGTTATATTAAGCATAATTTCTACTTATCTGGAAAGTCTTAATTCTCTTTAATTTATCCATGTTTAGTGTCTCTTTATTTATTCCGTTATGCGATGCAGGTAAGATGCTTCACTGAGATAACTGTATGCCATAAAATTGTAATTTTTTTTTATCACGCTTCCAATTTTGAAGGCATATATTTTTGTCAGGATCCTAATACTTTAGTCCAGCTGTATTCACACTCTGCCATTCCTATCCTTAATGCCATCTTTGTGTTCTGCTCTTTGGACAGATTGAAGAGGCAGATATATTTAAAGAAACCAAACAGTATACTTACAAAGACGGTTCCCAGTATGTCTTTATGGACTTGGTATACTATTTTCTGTTTTGATCTTCATATGATTGCCTCAATAGTAGATACTCTTTTCAAGTAATTTTATCCTCTTTGAGAATATTAAGGCAACTGTCAAAGCATCATCATTACTCATAATAGAGAAAATGGTGAAAAAGGCTCACTATTATGCTATGCTACACCTCTGCTCTATTTTAACATTACAAGATTATCTCTTCATTCCATTGCCGGCTTATGAGCATGTTTGGGGCGCCTTAGGCTTAAAAATAAGCACTACATGTGTGGCTTACATTTAGTGTGGATCCACCTACATTCAAATAAGCCACACATTTGGAGCTTATTTTTTAGCTTAAGCCATCCCAAACATGCTCTATTTCACACTGTTCTATGTTGGAAGGAGTAAGAAACTGTCAAAGCTAGATATCTTTCTGTGACTCCAGTAGAATCAACTTTAGACATTTAGACCAACATAAGCCAGGTGCTCAAGCTCAGACATAGGTTGCGAGTTCAAATTTTACCTTTATTCCATGTCCATTTAAATTTAAAAACAAATTTCTGCTGTCGGACTAAATACTATGATATTTCTAAAGAGGCAAATAATTATCTCATATATTTGGTACTTTCCTGGTAATAACTGGCCTTGTGCTTCAACTGTTATACTGTTCTTATACAGTGAGACAGTTGAGATTAGTAGCTTTCCACCAGTCTTGTTTATCTCACTTTGAAATTTACTTGAGGACACTTCTTTCTTCCTAGAGATACTGGTTTTCTTCAGTAATTAGCATGCAGTGGTACTGGAAGGCTAGTCTTATTTCCAAGTTTCATGAGTTTTATGTCATATCTGTCTCAGAGTTCATTTGAAGAATTCCATCTCAATGAGAAAGATGTCGGGAACAAATCGAAGTGGCTGAAAGAAGGCATGGACTGCAATTTGCTATTCTGGAAGGGAAAAGTATTGTTCAACTCTAGCACCTCTTTTCTCTGATTGGATCACGAGCTTTACGATAATTATCTTGGCGCCTGCCTTCTCAAATTTGTCAATTGTTACCTAAGGAAGCAAACATCTTTTCAATACAATCTCAAATGACTGCCTGATTTGTTGGTGTAGGTAATTGATTTTGAACTCCCTATCACAGTGAAGTTGACTGTGGTTGAAGTTGATCCAGGTGTGAAAGGTGACACAGCACAAGGTACTTTGACGCGTTTCTTGGTTTTTGGAATATTCCTATTTTGCTTGCTCTTGCTTGATCACCATTTTTGTGGTTTTCGAAGGTGGATCTAAGCCAGCAACCGTTGATACTGGTGCTGTGGTTACTGTCCCATTGTTCATAGAAAGAGGCCAGGAAATTATGGTGGATACTAGAACTGGGCAATACATGAGCCGAGCGTAGCCTGCTTGGAATTTTATCGTTTTTGTACAAGTAGAAGACTTTGCTATCTTTAACTATTTTGGACAACCAACCAACTTTTTCTCCATTTGGATTTCGAGAGAATGTTCTGCAGCTGTTAGTTATAAAAGAGCTTCTGATGTTAGCAGTTGATGTATCGAAGGTGTATCTTGATTTAGTACTGTTTACTAAACATGCACATGCACATAAAATGGCGACTCGCCACCACTTTGGTATCTATCATGATTGTTTTGCCTAAATTGAGTTCTATCTCGCATCATATGTACTTCACCCCTTCTATTATCATATTTTTCAAATCTAATTTTCATCTCTTTACTCTTAAGAAAATTTATGACAATTTCAGGTGTACCATACTTAATGACGTTTTTAACTTTCTTATAAGAGTCGAAAATTTAATTGAGCAAGATTATGTCCTTATAAGTTTCAGATACAGACTCATCACAATTAATAATATCTTGCACCAATTAGTTAAAAGCATCTAAATTGTCATTGAGATCTTTTGAAGGGTCCATTTTAAAGCTAAAAAAAGCGTTCAAGCAAATAAAGTTTATTCAATGTAGATTTGAGCAAATACAGATCTTCCAATTTTTTTCAAAGTTCTTTGGTGGTTTTCAGTTTACCCATCTTTCTCAAAACGGCGTCAACAAGTATAAAATGACTGAGGTATAAGCAACCTTGTCGACTTCTTCCTTTTGTTTTTTTTTAAAAATCAGTTGAAAATTTGCCTTTAATGACCTTTGAAAAATTTTGTTAGACTAAAATACCCTTCACTTTTTGTTACTAGATTGAAAAATCATCTTTTCCGTTAAAAATCCTCAAATCAAAGTCGTCATTTTCACAGAACAGCAAAAAAAATCACAAAACACAATCCAACCACACAAAATAGTTCTAGAGTCACAGATAATATATTCCGTTCTAAATTTCCAGAGTTTCGTAAAATTCATGGTCTTAGATCAAGGAAATGTTCGAACGGGTAAGATCTCGATATTGCAACGAAATCAATAAGCAGTGGAAGTAATAATGCAACAAGAATGATATGTCTAACAAATAATCAATTTCACATCAATTAAACACTAAGAACACTAATTTAACCAAAAGACAAGTACTCAATCAATTAGTTAAGAGCAAGTAATCCCAATTTCTAGTACAAGCAATGTTATCCCTTCACAGTAACCATAACCCTATTGTCACCCCCACATGATGACACGCCACTGCTGAAAATTAAACGGGTTAAGCCAATTTACCAGAGCGGATCTATTTCAGTCCATAAAAAGTGGAGAAATGCGAATTTGTTGTTTTAGGGCCACCACTATTCGCCCTAAAGACTTAGCAAATGTGTCAATTCCAATTAGTCACAAATGCAGATTAATGTCCAGGGGCAAAATCATTCAAATTTTCCTGTACAACCTGAAACACTAAACTAAACACATTAACATATTCGAGAGATATAGTAAGTAAAATGATTAGAAAAATCTCGCCACCGAACTGTCCACGCGCTGACGTCGAATCGCCCACTCTCCGCCGTCGATCACTGCCGCCTCCACCACGTGCTGTCCCTCGGGGGTGCCTCGACCTATTAAGTATAGGTCTGGCCTCCATTTATCCAACGGAGGTCTGGTTTGAGAGCAATTGAGGATTTCAGATTTGGGAAGGTTGAAGAAATCGCCCCTTTCTTCCAATTTTTGGTCTGATTTTTGCTAGATTTCGATAGCCCACGCTCTGATACCAAATGTAGAGTGTATATTGATCACCAAGGTTGGCCCAAGCTCAATTTTTTCCAACTAAAAAGACCACAACTCGACAACAAAGACCCAAGACAATAACCAAGCTACCATTTTTGGTTGACAATGAAATAATTTACTTAGAAGACCATAAAGATGCGCAATATCTCATATATAATCACCACAGGAAGTAGAAACTAAAAGAAAGCAGGAGTGTAGAAGAAAATACAATAGCCAAGAGTCAGAGAGAGAGAGAGGAGGGGACCCATTCTCTTGCAAAAGGAGAGGAAGACCCAATATATTAAGTAAAGTTGCCCAAGTATGGTAAGTAGAATTAGGTTAACAATGGGGTCGAGTAAAGGCCCAATAAGTAGACAAATGGACTGCCAAGTAATCTCTCTCAATTATGGCCATCTAGGAAAGCGGTTTGGGTCATGAGCAACACTAAAATATTAAGGTTGCTTCTAATGGCCCAATTAACCTTCTGATCATGTCGTATCGATTGTGGTTTTATAGTTTACGTTCAGTCATTTGGCAAAGCCGACTGAAAATTAAAACCGAATAACATCATAGCTTAGAAAGGTCGTTTGACAACAAATTGTCTAACAAGGAGAAACACCATTCTTGATCCAAACCCACACAGATCCTGAAGCGCTAGTGGCTCCACTACGTTGAATACCCTTCTCAAGCAGATTTGCTGCTACATAAATGGCTAAAGGCCAAAGATCAAACGTCCAAAAGTAATGGACCAATTNTGACGTCATCTTCCATGTAAAATTTCCTAATAAAATGATATAAATTATATTGAAAAATTTATCGCACAAAAATAATAAACGTTTATGAAATATTGAATTTTTTTAAAAGAAAAAACAAGTTAAACGTCTTTTATAGTACATCGTTTGACACATGTTTAACTATTTTCAATATCCGTTTGGACCATTCGATATGACTACGATGTAGTTCTCGAAACAAGCTTCTAGATGACGTAGGAGATTTGTGGATTCGGATAATATACGATCATTGGCAAATTTTAATATTTAGCATATTATCAAACTTTTTGAAATACTAATTTGAAACGACTTACTTTGATACATCATAACTTTTGCTAGGTTGATTATTTCGCACGTCATTAAGAAGCAAAAAACTAAGTTATGAGCACTTCGAAATGATATTAAGAACGTTCCGACTTCATTTGGCATGTATTAAAATAGATAATAAAATGGTTAAACAAATTATTTTTTGAAAGAAAAGAAAAAAAAAAAAAACCAAAATTTTGTGGGGTCATTTGACCCCATATGGTCCGGCCCCTGCAAGTAGTAACCATGGATGAGGTTTAATGACCATTCATTTATTTAACTCGCAATTCCAGTACGCACAATGGGATTACTGGTCACAATCCTGAAGGAATAGTTAAGAGGAAATTCTAATACACCACAATACTTATTGTTTATGTTTCTAGGGACATACACATTTTTGTTTTGCAAATATAAATTATGAGGGATATAATGATACATTTGAAATGGTATCAAAGCATTGTTCTGAAACCCGTTGTGTATATTAGTTCAAATCATCCATACATCTAGTAATTATGAAATGTTGCCTCCCGGAGCATAGTCCAATGGTGCAAAAAATAGAAGTGAGATTATCTCATATCTTGTTGGCAGTCGTAGTGTGGAAGTTCGATTCCTGAGATATGGAATTAGACCCCTTGTAGGCGCAGTGTACGAGCACCTCTGGTTCCCTGGCCTGTTAGAGTACATCCCACGATTTACCTCCCTCACAAAGTTTTAGAGGCGGAACGATGGGGGCCTTTAAAGTTTTGGTTCAAACCTTTTTTTTTTTTTTTTTTAATGAAATGTTTTTTCAGATAACAAGGCGGAAGTGTGGTGGGATGCTTAGAAACGTGTAAAGTTTGTGTAGCTATTGTGCAAGTAGTAGTAGACAGTATTATATATGACAAAAAGAGACTTGCATGTGCCCCCAGGGCACATCTTCAAGTGATAAAAGGAGAGGGTGGAGAAATCCAGCTTTGTTTGAGGCTATTGCGTCAAGGGTTCGAATCCTGAAATATGGATTTAGCTCTTGGGTGAGTGCAAGTGTACAAGCAGCCTTCCACCCTGTACCCTTGGAGGCATAATCTGCGATTTACCTTCCTCACGATACTCCAGGACAGGAGTGGTGGGGGACCCTTAAGGTTAGGATTTAACCTTTTAAAAGAGACTTGCATGTGACCAAAATTCTATTAGACTATTACAGCTGGCATTATAAATGTAGCTATCCTAATATGGAATTGAATTTGCAGTAGTAAATGTTTCTCTAACAGATCAAATCAAGCATTAACACGCTCAATTGCAGATGGATTGATGGCAGAATATTTCCCTTTTGAAACTAGGAAATGTTTTGATTTTATCTTATTAGGCTTTAGAAACTTCTTTAGCACTTTTGTGCACTCCAATCTCAGCTGCAGCTTTTGTTGAATAGGCTTCTTGCGCTTGGTAGCTTGGCTCCTTCCTAGCGTGGCTGACTTCAGCTTCACCTTGAAACTCAGCCTCTCACACCGGTCGAAAACCGTGCTTTCTTCATCCCCAAACCTTTCAAAAATATTTTCAATTTCATCTGTTCCATTTCACAAAGAAAATTTGTTATCACTCGAGAAAGCCTAGCAGACTGGAAATTCAAATACATACGACAGGATTAATGGTCCCAAACATGACGGAATAGTTGACCAAAAAACCTGTGTTGTGTTCAAATTGCACAACGATTTTATGATAATGGGGGAAACACATTTAATGGTTGCATACTGACTAGTAATGAATTTAACGCAGCTGTTTATGTGGTAACTTTGGCTTTGACAATTAGGATGGTTGTTCCATGTTATTAGTATCATTTAAATGAGGGTAAATTGCTAATTTATCTGTAAACCTTTGGCCAAAATTGGTATCTTTGTCCTTGACCGTTTCTTAGCTTAGTTCTTTTCCCAAACATTTGAAAAATTAGCATATTGAAGACTTGTTAATGTATTCCATCTAAAATAGTCTTAAAGTCAAGTTTACTGACCAAGCACTTGTTTAGTACAGATTTTAAGTCGATTAAAGTCAATTTTTTGACCTTTATTTCACTATTTCAGTCATCATTTTTGAATTCTTTTCTCACAAGTAAGACCTACTTTATCTCTAACGCTCAAAAAATCAATTATCAAAATTCTTACCAAACAAGCACCAACACAAATTTGGATTATCAAAAAATCAATTATCAAAGTAATAGAGTGCTTCTATTATTGGATGTAGTCGTTATATTTTGAGAGACGAATGCCAAAAAACCATTAGAACTCGTGCGCGGCATTATCGTCTCAAAGAGAAAGAGTCGAACTCTTGCCTTGATTAAATTCATATTAATACATTTCTTGTTTCTACTTTACGTATTTTGGTTTTGGTAAATTGAAATTCTGTCCCCTTTTTTGCACGTAAAAGATATGCTTTACAATATAATTTATGCATGACAATTTTTTCAACTTGTAC